ATCAAAGTGCTTCCCATGAATTATTTTAACTTCATGATAACCTTGTGATGTGGGTATTATAATTATCTTTTTATGTATGAGGGAACTGAGGCATGAAGAGATTAAATCATCTGTCATAGTTCACTTAAGTGGCAGAGCTGAGATACAGACCTAGATATGTTGAACGTAAGAGCCCAAACTCTTAACAGTGATGCTATACATATGTTTATATTTGTATCGAAAAAAAGTCAAGAAAAATAGATACCAGGATGTTAACAGTTAACAGTGGCTGTTTCTGGATAGCGAGATTATGAATGACTTTTGTTCCCTTTATACTTTTCTGAGTGCTCTGAAAATTTTATGATTTACATGGATTATTTTCATAATCAGAAAAAAAACCAAAAACTAAATTTCCATTTTGGAAAAAAGCCAGCAAGCCATTGTTTCCAACCTGTAGGTGCAAACCTCTGAGGAGCAGAGGGGCAACTTCATTATTACAAAGATTCCAGAAATCTCTACCTGGCCCAAGCATTGTTTAGAATGAATAAATAATATGCTTGTAGCACACTTCTTTCAAATGCATATAAATACTCTCATTATGTATATACATAGTGGTTTTAGTTTGTTACATACTATCACGTGGAGATCCATGGCATTTTCATTAAAATACTAAGGCAATGGTTGGGATCAAACTCTCTTAGTTTGAGTGTCTTCTCAACAATTTACTTCCCTTTTTCCAGGGGAGGCAGGAGGAAATAGAAGAGAAAAACTGAGAAGTCGCACATTATTAAAAGTTAACCCAGGAGGCTTGCTTCCTGGAGAAGACAATTTACAAGAATGAGAGAGTATGGAGAGGGAGTTGGTGTAGGCCCAGTTTATTCTATTCTGGAAAGACAGAGTGCTAATCTCCCCCATATTGTCAAGGGCAAGTGTCCATCCTCAACCACAGGGATGTCAACATATCAGTAGGGCAGTGGTGCCTTAAGACCTGAGCGCTAACATTTGCTCTAGGGCCAGGCTGGTTTCCAGTCAACAGGAAGACCTGGAGTGGGAGGGCAAAGTAGGCAGAACTTTTTCTTTTGCCAAAGTGCCTCAAAGGTGAGAACCTGCCTTCCTTTCTCTCATTCTTTCTTCTCTCCGTTTGTAATGTGTCCCTTGTCTTCTGTTTCTGTATACCGTCTCATTCCCCATTCAGGTCCCCAGGACATATGCCCCCATAGGACTCTAGTGATCTCATTACATGTAAGAAATCACCCAATCATAGATCCTCACTTACTGATTCTTCACTTAACACGGAGGCCCTAGGGCTTTCAGGCATTAGGAGCAGATATACTGACAAATAAGATATGGTCCCAATCTCTTTAGAAGCATGCAAACTTCAGGTGGAAAAAGCAAAAAACAAAATAAAAAACTACACACACAACCATGTTTGATTTAATGGGCATAAAGTTACAACAGGAGTCAAAGAGAGAAATGAGGGCTTTGCTTTCCCCCCTCACTTTGGCCTGTATTTGAGACTCACCTAGAAACCACCCTCTACACTCCACCCCTGGTCACGGAAAGCTTGGAAGATTGGCTTACTCCAAAGAAAAACAGTCCTAACTAAGTCAATGGCATGGGGGAAGAAAAGGAGGTAAGGAAGGGAGATTGTTCTGTATTAAAATAAAATTAAGATCTTGACAAAGGGATCAAATACGAATCACTATAGTCTTTGAATACAGCTATCAATTTGCAAGAAATACAGAGGAATATGCTGAAGCACCCTAAGTAAGTATGAGATAAGCAAAATCCAAATTGTGGGAAATTCTACAGGTCAAATGCTGTGGGTTCTTCAACAACTAAATCATAAGGAAAGGAAAGAGATGGAGGGGGAACTGACTTAAACTCTTCAAAAGCACCAAAGTCATGGAAGTCAAGGAAAGATGAAGAAACTAACCCAATCTGAGTAAGGCCAAATTCTAGATGCTCCCAACACCACAAATCCCTAGAACTCCCTTCCCACCAGTCATCTCCCTAAGGTCACACAAAATCCCTATAGTTTCTGAGTAGCCTGTGAGGGGTGTTTCCCCTTCTCTGGGTCCCTGTGTCACTCCGACTGCATGGCAGTCATTCTCATCTTTCTCCATCCTGATGTCCTAATAATCCTAGGAAAGAGAGCCAAAGTGCAAGTGGGCTGGACTAGACCTGATGGGGCAGTCCTTGTGCTTCAGAGCCTACCTTTGCAGTGGGTGGGGGGCGGAGAAGGACAGGAGGGAAGAGGGCAGGTGCAAACTCCTCAGAGTCATATGCATTCACTATTGAGTGAACTTCCAGAGGCTGGTGGCACCTTTGGTTGGAACACTGCTCTGAGATCTTTGCCTCCCTCAGGCTCCTGAGCATCATGCCTCATTCCAAGCAGCCTAGTCACTTCCAGAGTCTGATGCTTCTGCAGTGGCCTTTGAGCTACCTTGCTATCTGTGAGTATTGACCGAAGACTGCATAGCAAGAAGCCAGAGTCAGAAGCCAGGGCCAGATCTAGGGTGACTTCTATGGCCATGTGAAGTCTCATCTCAAGCCTTTCCATCATCTAAGATTGTACTAGAGAGTAAAACCAAGGAGTCTCAAGTACCATGAGTGCCCTGGAGAAGAATGAGATAGCACCCCAGGAGATGGTGAGAATAGGTAGGGGCGGCAGTGGGGTGGTAGTGTATGGAACAGGTCATGATGGATATGAGTAGATCTAGTTAATTTCAGCCACTTCCTAATCCTTACTATCTAGAGAGGAAAAATGAGGCCCAGGGAATGCTCCTTATGATCATGGGGAATAGGACAGAGGAAACATTAGCATCCCAGACTTAAAGAAGTATAGCCTGTGTTTGAACCATAGAGTTGTCATTCTGGGGGTGGTAGCATGGGGGAAGACAGTGTCACTGGAAAGAATGGTGAATGGGCAAGAGGACAAGCATAGTGAATAGGAAACATTAGAAGGATGCAGATACTGGGTAGGTGGTGTGTAGGAAGATATGGGTACTATAGGCGTGAGGGAGAGCTGGCTAGTGGCTTAATGAGGGATAATGGATAGGGATGGAGACAGGAGACAAAATGAAAAAGATGGTGGCCAAATAGGGGCAGGAGGAATAAAAGCTGGTGGGAAACAGAGAGCAGGAGTACAGAGATACAGGCTATACAGGAAAGCAGGTGGACAGGGATGACAGGTAGGCAGAGAAATAGGGCTTGTGTATGGTAGATGATAGAGGAAGAGTTTGAAGAACAAGTAGACATGGATGATGGATGAACAGGATCTGGCTTGTGTCGAGGGCCAGGACCAGAGGCTTAGGTAATGTGGAGGGCTGGTAATAGGACTGCACATGGTCAAGTTCTGCTGGCAGCACAAATTTGGTCTAACTTGGTCCCTTATCAGTTTGGATCTTGCAGCCATTGTTCATCTACCTGCTATTTACATCCTTGTGGCCGCTACCAGTGCTTTACTTTGCCTGGTTGTTCCTGGACTGGAAGACCCCAGAGCGAGGTAAGACTCATAGACCTAGAAAGAAGAATGTTCCATCATAATCTGCAGCCAGGGAGTTCCACTTGCCATACCACAGGCCCCTCATCCAAGTTCTCAGAGCCACAGGAGCTGAGCCAGACAGGACCATCCTAGGGTCTCCTCTAGCAGAGCCATGCAAGGAAAGCCCTGGGTCCGTGGAACATATAAGGTGGCACACGCTGACATCAGTCCCTACTGCTTCTTTTGTCTCAGGTGGCAGGCGTTCAGCCTGGGTAAGGAACTGGTGTGTCTGGACCTACATCAGGGATTATTTCCCCATTACAGTAAGTATCTCTTCCCCAGTGACCTCACAGTTCCCAAAATACTGGGTCGGCATTTATGCCACATGACTAGAGTTGTCCATAAGAAAGATAAGTATCTCAGAGAAGTCTCAGTCTACGCTAGATATACTTCAAGATTCAACATTTCTACTGAGTACTCTATCTCTGCTAGGAAACTTTGGGTGCCCTTGGCATCACCTGCCAGCTGACACAGGCAGAAGGCAAGCACAGTTCAGATCAGTTTAATAAGCATGGATTGAAAGTCTATTCTGAACCATGTTAGGAGTACAGAGAAGTGAAGAGGATCCAGTTCTCTGCCATCGAGAAGCTCACATCTCATGGGGAGGACAGACAAGTATATCATTTGTTTGGCCCAAGGTACAGAAGTAGTTCAGATGGGGGATAAGGAAAGGCTTCACAGATATGGTGACATCTAAGCAGGGTTTTCCAGGTTCAATACAAGTTCCTTAGGCAAGCACTGGAAGGGGACTGGGGGGAAACAATGTCAGGAAAAGGTTCCAGAAACCTCTTGAGGTACTGCTATGCTGATCCTCAAGGCACTCTTTGGAGTATACAACAAACACTTGCCCCAATTTTTAGAGCCAAGCTTCCTGATCTTTTTCATAAAAGTGCTCATAGAAAATGATAACCTGCACAAAGCACACTGACATAGATGGCTGAGGCCTGGCAGTCCTACCTGTCCCAGATCCTACCCTGTTGTCCAGTAGCCAAGGAGACCAGTATATCAGCCCTCCTGAAACCCATTCATGGTCTATTTGTTGGAAAGCTCTGCTTTAGAGAGCACCCTGATCCCTGAAGTGTCACCACCCTTGTTTCTGTCACGTAATCTCATTCCACCACCTCTGGCATTTCTCTCCATGGCTGCAGATCCTGAAGACAAAGGACCTGTCACCTGAGCACAACTACCTCATGGGGGTTCACCCCCACGGCCTTCTGACCTTTGGCGCCTTCTGCAACTTCTGCACTGAGGCCACAGGCTTCTCGAAGACCTTCCCAGGCATCACTCCTCACTTGGCCACGCTGTCCTGGTTCTTCAAGATCCCCCTTGTTAGGGAGTACCTCATGGCCAAAGGTGCTTCTGACCATACTTACTGGAGCTTCTGGTCCATTTTTCTGTTTGGAAATGTACCCTTTTAAATCCCATCCCCTCTTCCCCACCCCCCACCTCCATATCATTATAGCATAGTTGTCAAAAGCATACGTTCTAGAGCTAAGCTGCCTGGGTTTGAATCTTAGCTCTGCCCCTTGTGTGGTCTTGAGCAAACTAGCCTCAATTTCCTTATCCATAAAGTGGTACAGATGAAAATAGACTGCAAATCAACCAGAAGTTGGGCCAAAAAAAAAAAAAAAAAGTCTGACCTTAGTTGTGGGATGATGACTAAGTGAGATAATGCAAGTAAAGAATTCAACACTGGCCAGGCCTAGTGGCTCACTCCTGTAATCCCAGCACTTTGGGAGGCTGAGACAGTGAATCACCTGAGGTCAGAAGTTTGAGACCATCCTGGCCAACATGGTGAAACCCCATCTCTACTAAAAATACAAAAATTAGCCCGGCATAGTGGTGGGTGCCTGTACTCAGGAGGCCGAGGCGGGAGAATCGTTTGAACCCAGGAGGTGGAGGTTGCAGTGAGCCGAGATCATGCCATTGCAATCCAGCCCGGGTGACAGAGCGAGACTCTGTCTCAAAAAAAAAAAAAAGAGAATTCAACACAATGCCTGCCTGCCACAGAGTATATGCTCAACAAACAAGAGCTGTTGCTCTTACTGGGAAAAAGAAAGGGTAAAATATACATGGGATTCAGAAAGTCCTTCTGGTTATCCCACCAAAAACCTTCCTACCAGTTTTGACTCAGTGCCTCCTACAAAGTGCAGATATTGCCTCAGTGTGAGCTATTCTATTTGTCCACAGCCTTTTCTTCTCTACACTCTTTAGTCCCATCTCACT